ATCAATAAATACCCTTTCGACTCAATAATGAATGATACGTTACTTGAGCACTTGAATACCTCCAAGACTAATATAAGGTACTTACTTACTATATCAATATGACTACTTTACATGACCATATGAGACCTCTAAATCCTTTTCGTCTCATTCTTATTATTTAGCTTCTTCTCCTTTTCTCCCATCTTACTTCTACTTCCATATGACATGTGTTTGGTTTGTCTTGGATCCTTTCTTACATACATGATTTCTCTTCTTCCTCGCCCTCTTTTTCTCCTTCTGCTTCGTCTTCTTCAACGGTAATATACATAAAATCTAGACGGCGATACCCTTGAAATCCAAAAATTCTTCGATAGTTGACCAGCGCACGGATTGAATGAAGGCCTCAATCTTCCGCTAGGAAGTCTAAAGTCTCACAAGTGGGACTGTTACTGATACTAGCGTGAACCTAGCTAATAATTGCTTTCTTGGTCTACAGGAGATTCCAGTACGGCATCGGCACTTCCATATGCGCCTCCAAGTCGCAAGGTCAATCCTACAAATATGTCGATGCAAGCACTTCGTCCCACCACGCGGGGTACAATAGGAAGTGGAACAACAAGTTCGAATGGGAGTTTTCAAAGGAGAACTTCCTTATCTTCATTTCCATCCTCTCGTTCTCCTTCAGTCATGTCACAACGTCGTCCTTCACGAAGTCCGAATCCCCCACCAATAGACACGGATCGAACTTCTGATCCAAGTACCGTCACTTCCAAAACTCCCACCAGCGGTGTATCGTCCCAACACTCATCATTATCCGCTCCAAATAAATATAGTCCAGGCGCACATCCTGCCAGAAAACTGAAATCACAATATCCTCGAGGAGATACAGAGAATCATGTCGAATATATACTGGTGGCATCATTTGACATTGACAAGGGGCCAATTATGGAGCATCAATACCCTGTTGCTATAACGGGCGACGAACATATGTTAGCAGAATTGATGTTACCAGATCAAGCCCACGTTCGAAACCAAGATTGGACAATATTTTTCCTACATAAAGATACGAGTCAGGACGAAGAAGAGGCAGAGGAGAAGGCAGAAAGAAAAAGACTACGAAAGGCAAAAAAGGAAGCTAGGGCAGCTCTTTTTGAGAGTGGAAATGTTGACCCTTTAGAAAGGGTGGATGGTAGTGAAGAGGAATCATCAGAAGATGATGAACCAGAAGGAGGCGAAGGTCCGCCTTTAATATATGTTTTGAATCTTGTGAACACAAAGCAAGACAAGACGGCCAAAAGAGGGGCTGTAGTGAAAGCCATGGCAATATGTACTCGACATCCATTTCTGCACATTTATAAGGTGTGTCATTCATAATACCTAATTGGCAACCTACTAATTTTTGACAGCCACTTCTATTGTTAGCTCTTGAAGAATATTTCAAAACGCCTCAACCATCTACGCTGGCGGAGTTATATGAGGCTGTAAATACAATGGATTTATCATTAATGCCTAAATTGAGCATACTCGAACGCCATCTTCTACAAGCTAGCGACAACAAAGATCTATTTGTAGAGAAGTTCGAACAAATGATTCAAATGCGTATGGCGGAGGACAAAGGCGAAGCGCTGGACGATATGGCAGCCATGTCTGAAAGTCCAGAAAGGAGACCAGGTTTGGTGCGAAATGGTACAAAGGCACATGTTCAACAACTAATACATTCGAATTACTCGGTACCTCGGGACACACACGAATTTGAGACCAAGGTCATGTATAATGGAATTCCGATACCTATCAAGGTTCCTGTTGCAGTATCTCCTGAGACAGTCGGGGATTTTTCTCTTGTAAAACTCATACAAACATACAACGATCCTCATGTCAAATCCCCTATTCCGTTCGCGCTACATCCTCATCTTACAACGGGAGGTGTACATACTCATCCTATCATTGTGCTAGTCAATGCAATGTTAACTCAAAAACGTGTCATCTTCCTCGGCCACAATCGTCCATCAGGTGAAGTTGCTGAAGCTGTACTTGCAGCTTGCGCTTTAGCATCCGGGGGAATTTTGCGTGGATTTACACGCCATGCTTTTCCATATACCGATCTTAGTAAAATCGATGACCTTTTAAAGGTACCAGGATTCATTGCAGGTGTAACAAATCCAACTTTCGAGAATCATCCAGAATGGTGGGACGTATTATGTGATATACCATCTGGTCGAATGAAAATCAGTAGTCGAATCGAGCAAGCACCACTTACAGAAGGACTTGCAAACTTCCAGCAACAAAATCCGGCTTATGCTAGTGCTACAAATGTTGCAACGTCAACGAGCCAGGCTGCCAGTGATCCAACAGGTGATGCTGCATTCATGAATGATGTGATCCGCAGTATTGCAGCTAGACATGGTGAGGGTGTCATTCGAGCCAAATGGCGAGACTGGGTTGTCAAATTCACCAGAATCTCGGCCCAATTCGAAGAGAGTGTTTACGGCGCAAGTGCTTTGTATATCGGGGTTGAAAAAGCAGAGCCCGGTAATGAAAACGTCAGCGGCCACGGATATGTTTGGCCTGATGATCATGCGAAGTTCCGTGAGCTTGCTAGTAACGTAAATCGAATTGAGGGCTGGAGATCCACTCGAAGTTACTACAGCTTCAAACAGGTATGTCTTGTGCTTAAACTTTCATGATACTAAGAACTTACAATGCTCAGGACCTCGTACAACTGTACAACTTTCGACCTTTGAAAGCCCTTGACCTCCATCATTTGCACGATCGTCTGCGACTGACAAAGCTCACTCCTAGTGCAAGCCGTGATATATACGTTGCAATGGAGAAATACACACATTCATATGATGAAATATGCCAGCTTCTAGCCGTAGCACCCGAATCACATGCAGGACTCTTCTATATTGCCCTTGGTCTTTTTCACAAAGATCGAGATGTTCGGATGAGAGTTGTCGATTTGTTGGAAAGGATCAGCGATCATGAAGCTGGGCGACATTGGTGGAAAGCCTTGAGTCGATTCGAGAAATTGGCTTTTATTCGCATTAGGAGAGAAGCAGAAGCAGAGATGAGGGCTAAGCTGGGGGGCGTTGAGAGAGATATCTCGGCTGATGGTGACGCAATGGTATTGGGAAGACGGGTCAGTTGATATAGCAAGAGAAGGATTTGATCGCATGTTGGTGTTATCTTCTTTTTATGATTTTACGAGATCATGATCATCGCGATATTAGATGGGAGGTGCTAGGGTGCAATTGTTTAGGGACTGCATTGATTCATTTACTGGACTGAGAAATTACAGAGCCATGAAAGAACGAAAGGAAGTTCAAGAGATAGATACCCCGGGGAGACAGAACAGTTTTGCGGTCGAATGGAACGGCATTATAACAATGCCACCATCATTTTATGATCCGTATATTTCGTCTAGACATTGGACATTGAACTTGGCGTATGTCCCCGGTTAACCTTGATCCTCCTGGTGAGCCAATGTAATTTATATACCTCAAGTCATGAAGAACCCACAGGAATTATTTTCCTAATACAGCATCAAAAAATCAATCATGGAAAGCTTGACCCAGAATTCCGAGTAACGTCCGAATAATGTGGGGTAACATCAAGCTTCGAAGGAGGGGTCGAATAGCTTCAAACGTCATGCCCACATCATTGTACGGACCATAAACAAACAATATTTCCTCCATCTCTCACACCTCCTTCCCTCTTCTCTGACTATCATCATCTAAAAATTGAACCATTCCCCGAAATCTCGAACTGAAATCTCTACAACTAACGATGTCATTCAAAACTACAGCAACCATTGCCTCCTTTGGCGGCAAATTGCTAAAACTTACACACGATGCTAGCACAGTGGGCTGCGAAATGGCATTGAATCTCTACCTACCGCCTAAAGCTTCTGCGGAGAGAAAAGTTCCAGTCATTTTCTACCTAGCGGGTCTTACTTGTACGGGAGATAACGGGGCTGAGAAGGGATTCTTCCAGAGTGCGGCGAGTGAGAAGGGAATTGCGGTGGTTTATCCAGATACCAGTCCTAGTAAGTTTCTTGGAGGATTTGGAGAAGAGGAGATGGTTTCTGCTTTTTGCGGTTATGGTCAAGGGAGGAATGGGTATAGAATAACGAAAAGAGCGGATATCACACTAGCTACTGATCGAGAACCCCAAGCTAACTCATCCCTTCAACAACAGGAGGTCTCAACATAGCCGGCGAAAACGATTCCTGGGATTTCGGAACCGGAGCTGGCTTTTACATTGACGCCACTAATCCTCCCTACTCCACAAACTACAAAATGTATAGCTACATCACCTCCGAGCTCCCTTGTTCTCTCTTCTCCTCCTTCCCCGAACTCGATTCTGAAAAGAAAAGTATTATGGGTCATTCGATGGGTGGACATGGTGCTCTTACTCTATTTTTGAAGAACCCGGGAATGTACAAGAGTGTGAGTGCTTTTGCGCCGATCTCCAATCCGGTTAAATGCCCATGGGGAGAAAAGGCTTTTAAGGGCTATTTTGGAGAGGAGAAGAATGACGAATGGAAGAAGCATGATGCAACGGAGTTGATCAGCGAATTCAAGGGAGAGTTTCCGGCTTTGATTGATGTGGTGAGTTTTCATTTCGATATATCTCTGGTGCATTGGGGGATGGTATGGATTGCTGACATGATTGGAAATCCCACAGGGAACAGGAGACAACTTTTATAAACAGGGACAGTTATTACCAGAGAATTTCGAGGCTGCAGCAAAGAAGTCAGGAAACGACGACAATTTGACGCTTAGATACCAAGAGGTAGGTGTATAACCAAATTCTCTGGTATCTCGAGTGATTTTGCAAGTGGGAAATTAGACTAACAATTTCTGATAGGGATACGATCACTCATACTTCTTCATCTCGACATTTGGAAGAGATCACATTGAACATGCCGCCAAATATTTATTCGCATAGTATGTCTTCGGTTGTTTTCTCAGTCTCATAAAGTACAAGAGTCAAATACTGAATTTTATAGAAGCAAAAATGATCATGTAAATAGTCATAAGCTTTAAAAACTATATTTAGCGATTCTTCTTATGTAACAAATTGCCTAAACTTGTATATCTAAATTTGTGAGGCGCAGGAAAGTAGCATATATCTTGTCTGCGCGAAGACTGCAAGATGGACAGATAGGACCCCAAGCACTTTCACTGCTCCAAAGAATTCGATTTGAGATGTCGACTTTGCACGAATATTCTTGTTCTGGGTAGGTAGAAGATCGTGCCTTCAACGTAATCGACTGTTCTGGATGAAAGCTGCTCCGAACCCAAATTCGTAAAATTGATTGTTCAGGAATGAGGCCCATATATGAATCTAGAAAGCCAAATGCACTCACCGGCCGATCAAAGCAATGCATAGTTTTCGAATACTCGAGTCAAACCGGAGCTCATTCTGTGACTGGAAGCTGCGCAAGCGTTTTAAATGATATTGTAACCTTAGGCGACGCGTCGAAGCATGTTCACCATCATCAAGGCCGATTTTATCCATGTGTTTCTCAAAGTAGACCATCTCCAATTACATGTAAGCAAACGCCTTTCATACGCCAATCGCCCATTCCATGCGTCTTCCCGCAAGTATTACCGCAAATGCAAGTGGATGGCCACCATCATCCCTCACTGCAGCAATTCCTCGCAAGTCCAATCTTCGTACCTATCAAAATTATCAGTGAAATTCCTCAAGACATTATTGAAATGAACCTACCATCCATCGGGCATATAACGTCTAACGATCAGCGGAATCTTCTTATCCCTCAACTCCTTAATCGCAATTTGCAATGGATCCGTCTCACCCTCCTGATCAACCAAAATCGGCGCATTCATACTAATTTGCAAGGCTCTAGTGCCTAGGATACGCGCACGCTCGTATTTGGTCATGTAGGGTGTGGTAGTTCTTTGCTCCTTTGGAATTTTCTTGTCCTTGGGCGCAATGTTGCTTTTGGCCCGATTGGCAGCATGCACATCTCCCGATGTGACGACACCGCGCTCGCCGGTAGTGAGGAGTTGATCGGGATTCTGAGTCGATACGGCGACATCGTCGACTTCACCTGTAGAAACGTTGTTCATATCTTCCATTCCCTCAGGATCATACTCGGGCTCTTCGGCTTCATCGTAGGCTGGGGAGAAACTGGGGGAGATGCGTTAGTTATGGTTTTAAGGGCAGCTTTGCGAATGGACAATCCGAGTATGTTCTGTGTGGAACGAAATTAACTCACCCGCCATCGTAGTTCTCTTCGTCGTCAGACATCTTGGAATGTGATAATTAATGAAGGTGTTGATGAGAGTTTTCTTTGTTGACGGGAGATTTAGTCGGTGATGGATGAAGAATCTCAAAAATAAATTTGGCGCGGCTGATTTCTTTGCGCCTCGATTATTCGAGCTCCATATAATTTAAGGTTTGGGTTTAGCGTATTTTCAATCACTAGCGTGCCAAGATTTCGAACCTTTGCGATAGCCACAATAATTTTATGAAATATTTCGGATAAGGTGATGGATGCAGTTTGAATTGAGGACTTTTGAAGCCAATTCAACAACTTCCGAAATCAGCAATGGCAACAAATACTAGAAAGAGGACAGGAGATGATTCTTTAGAGCTTTCTACGAAAAGGTTACGAATTGATGCCTCGAGTTTTCTGCCAGGTTAGTGCAAATAGTTCCTGGTCTAGACTTCGATTTGGGAACTCGAGATTGACGATCACATAGCGGCAGACGTACTGGATGGTGATAATGATAATGAATACAAGCCGGAACAAGACCAGATCTCAGAGGAGGAGGAAGATACTATAGAAGCAGCAGATACACCGAATACACCATTTTCACCTGTACCTGGAAAAAAATTCCCATCCGAGTATAAGACGATAAAATGTACTTATGAAGGATGTACAAAAACATTCAATCGACCTGCAAGATTGGCAGCACATCTACGATCACATGCCAATGAACGACCTTTTATATGCTCATATGAGGGTTGTGATAAGGCATATATTGAGGAAAAACATTTGAAGCAACATATCAAGGGATCTCACACTCACGAACGAGAATACACATGTGATTGGGAAGGGTGTAATAAAAGTTTTTTGACGGCCACGAGGTTAAGAAGGCATAAAGATGCTCACGAAGGCCATGAAAGGTTCAGATGTACATCATATCCTCCCTGCAATCAGACGTTTCGAAAACATCAAACACTCCAACGCCATATTCGTTCCGACCATCTCGATTTGGCTCCATTCCCGTGCACATACATCGATCCGATTACGAATGAACTCTGCAAAGCAGGATTCGATGCTTCAGGTGGCCTCAAAAAGCATATGGAAAGAACTCATGGAGCAGCCACGTTTCTATGCGAAGAATGTACAGTACCAGGAAAATTCCACGAAGATGGTACACCCGTACCGTTAGCTTTCACAACAAATGCCAAGTTACAAGCACATATCAAGAAAGAGCATGCAAATTGTATGTTCTGTGATCGAAAATGTTCCAGTCAACAACTGCTTCAAAAACATATCGATACTCAACACTCGGGCACTACACTTGAAGAACGTAAGAATATACCTTGTGAATATCCAGGCTGCCCGAAGACTTTTACTAAGAGGGCGAATCTACAAGTTCACATGCGCACTGTACATGATGGGCAGCGTTTTATTTGCGGAACATTTGATGTTTCTCAAACTCCCGACCTCGCATCTTGGAATGGAAGCGATTCATGCGGTAAAGATTTCGTCTCGAAAGTTAATCTTGAAGATCATATTCGAACACATCATCTCGGCTTACCCAGTGTTTTGAATGCGAGAGGTAGACGAAAGACTGATTCACAGACTAGACGTTCCGCAAGAAGGGCACCCGAGCAAACCGAAATTGAGGAATTAGCGGGTTATGATGCCAGAAGAACAATTGACTGTGTAGTTCAGGGATGTCCTCATAAATTCATGAGAGATTATGATTTCCATGAACATATGAGGATTCACCACCAGGATGTCGGTTTTATGGATGGTCAGAATGATCTGAATCTACATATCGATATGAGTTTGATGGACCAGTTTCCCTATACAGATAATGGAGGGGAATTGCCAAGCCTGGATTTCATGAATGATGGTACGGGGATGGATATAGGCGCTCTAGACATTGGAATGGATCTGATCGATCCGGCATTACATACACCCAACTTCAATCTGGAAGCATCAGCATCGGCATCGGCAGCAGCCTCTGTAGCACCTTCAATCAATGGATGGGATACCGCAGATGTCGCTGCAGAAATAGATCTGGATTGGGACTTTCAAAGACAGGTACTAGAAGGAGGACGATTTTGAATTGGTGGAGATGAACCGCAGATTCCTGGGGGTTCACAGGAGTGGTCACGAGATCAGGCAGAGATGAGGAGTTTAATTGATTGATAGATGCCATCTAATGAAGGTCTAGAACTTCGACCTTAGCCTTGGCTTAGTCATCGGACTTGTCATAGGTCGAAGATATAAACCTGAATCTCGAGATATTTTACATTGCAAAGAGCTATCCGGTGGTTACAGCGAAATACATCAAATGCTCATCCTCTTCGCTAGGTCAACCAGTTTTGGGAGGATAATGGGGTAGCAATGGAAATCTGTAACATGATTTTCTTACTTACCTAATGAGGGATAAAGCGAAAAAAAAAAGATCAGGGATAGCAAGCGCTGCATACATCTCTATGATGTCGTTATAGCTGGACTATACATTGCATTGTAATGCATTGTGCTGAATTGTACTATACTATACTGTATTGCGTTACTGCCGAAACATAGACTTGGGGGAGAAAAGAGAGGTAGTGGAAAGATACCTACCCACCTTATTATGATGGAATACAAATAATCAATAAATACAATGAATTATGTTACACATGATTATAATAATCATACCTACATTATCATCATCATCATCATCATCATAACTCTCTCCCTCACTTGTGAATCGCCTCTATTGTTAGATAGGCAGTTAGGCGGTTAGTCGCTTGTATAGTAGTGTATGTATGTTTATTTCCCTTTTTCATCCAAAAAAAGGAAGAGAGGTAGGTACGATCAAGCCGTATATCCATACATATATACACATATTCTATCTCATACAACCACACCTAACCCCATTCAGATCCCCAACAAACAAACTTCAACATAATCAATTAATTAATCAATTAATCAACCAGGCACAAACTCTCATACTTCCCTCCAATGAAGCATACATTCCCTAACTTCCTCACTCCATTCCACTCCATTCCATTCTAACTCTACGCTATACCACACTACACGATCCCATACCATACTATACAACAGCCCCTTTCCCTAACCGAAAGAACAGCCAAATACTCAAATTATTCCTCGCTGTGTATTTACGCATTTGATTTAATCTAACTTCATCTAATGTAATCCCTTTTGTATCATACCACACTATACCATACCGTCACGTTGCAGCTGTACCGCATTATGAAAAGGGGAATGTAGATGCAAGTATAATCTATTCTACCCTACTCTAATGCTATTTATTGCAGTTATCGCTATTGCTATTGATTCTATGCTTTCATACCCATGTAACCCTTATGCCCATCTGCATCTGCATATGCATAACCTAACCCGACCTAACTCACCCCAAGGCAAAGGAAAAGAAAACAAAAGAAAACAAAAGAAAAGAAAAACAAATACAGACTCAAACCTCTACCTATCCAGGCACATTCGCTCGCCACACAACCCAAACCCCCTTATCTCAATAATTTCAGCCTCACCAATCCATCCGCCGCTCTCCTTGATAACTCCGGGCTCATCCCCCTTTCATGCACACTGCTCTCTTCTTCCGGCTGCGCAAAAATCATCGGTGGATTCGCAAGTCCTATTTTTTGTCTTTCTAAAATCGGAGTTCTTATCTTGGTATTTTCCTTACTACCTATCATTTCGTATTTTCTTCTTGCGACTTCTTGTTCGAAGTTGGTTATCATTTTTGTGTCTGTTTCTTTGGATTTGGGGTTGGATTTGGTAGTGGTATTGAGAGTGGGAGCAAGAGGATGTGCATGACCCAAACCTGAACTCGAACCAGAGTTCGAATTCGGATTTGAATTGGAGCCAAAAGAAGTGCACGAGATAGCAGAATCCCTTCTCGATAATGCATCCGATTCTCCTCCGGATAAAGGAGGACTAGAGGGAATATTGATATTCTCATCACCATCCGCTCTGACAAAAACACGTGCATTCTTATTTGCAGAACAAGGAGCTTGTATATTAATGGCGGGAACTGTTTCTCTTCCAGCATCCGTACTAGGCGCTCCAGGAAGCGGTGTTCGTTCCATACTCTTCCCATAAGAATATCTGCGAAGACGAGCAAGCGAAGGAAGTTTTGGTGATGTAGAACGCACTTGTAGACGTGAAAGAGGGAGGTCGATTTGGTTTGTTTTTACTTTATAGTTTGCGAGGGAAAGACGCAGACGTAGTGCTTGGGATTTCTATAGGTCGAGTTAACTTTTTTTGTTGGGTATGAGAAGGGAAGGAAACAAACTTGACGGATTTCTTCTCGTGACATAGATTTTGATTTAGAGGGAAAAATTCTTGAAGTGGATATAGTAGTAGGTATAGAAGATAACTCATTGGATATGGTAGTTTCGGTCGATTGGGAATTATTGCTGGTGATAGCCGCGTCTTCAACTTCTACTACGGAAGGCAAAGATGATGACGAAGAAGCAGATATAGAAGAGCGTTTTGGGGAGAGCTGCTTTTGAGGTGTCCTTGGTGACATCTATAAATGTATATTAGTAAACTAAATTTACCGAAACGGGTAACAAGCACATACCTTTTGTTCTTGGCCACTCCCCAAACCACTCGACTCATCTGCTATTCCAACTCTCTCACCACACGTCTTCGCCTCGGGACCTTCTGTAGCTGGGGACGCTGTGGTTTGTGACGACGTAGATTGCGTGAGCAAGCCCACACCTGCGCCAAACTCTTCAAGCAGCGAAGAGTTTCCCGATGATGGTGCAATTCTACGTCGCTTCGCACCGGGTTCTCCCGGTCGGCTCGATACAACATCTTGTGATAGTACAGCACATGACAAGTGTCTCTTTGTGTCAACCAAGGAGGCCCGCTCAGCAGTTGAAATGTCAACGCCGTTGATTGTGGCAGCCTCCAAGCCTTGATAAACGATATCTTGATTTGTTGCCCCTTCCATATTTGCAACTCGGGAATCCGTACTCGTGTTCGTCTCCTCCCAATTTTCCCGCTGTAATTTCGATTTCGAACGTGCTTCCACTTTTGAGGGGACATGTTTATCTTTTCCGAGCCAAGTTTGTCGGTTACTATATGATACTTTCTGAATCTCGTTATCTCGCCATAGCCATACATGATTGCTATCAGTGACGGAAGTATTGATATTGATATTGAGATCCCCCAAGACGCGACGCGTAGTTGATGATTTTGGTGAAGTCATTGTGAAAATTGAAGAGAATGACTTTAAATTAAAGTAAACAATCGACTAAACAATGAACTATAGAGGTTTGGACTTTGGAAAGCGCGTTCGTGGTTGTTTGTAGTTTCCTGAATGTATCTATTAATCCACGATTTACCACCACTCGGCCATACTTTTGGCAGCGCTCACTCTCCAATTACTTACAGATAAATCTGCTTCTCAATTTTTGAGAAGAAGTAATAGTAAATAAAGTACAAACTCAGATATCTAATTCCAAACGAGATTCAAGAATAATTATAAGTAAATATTCAATTATTCTTTCTCATCAGACTTTCAAATCGCGTCTAATGATATAATGCGGAATCTCTCAAGACGCGATTCTCGGGCAACTTTTATTATAATTCTGCCGCTTCCTAATAGACCGCCTTGATGAAAAATGAGGGGCTAGCCGAACTCTCACATACCATGAGCAGTTCATCACGTGCTAACTTTATCTCATCTCTACAGGGTAGACGGGACGGGGTATTCACATACACTCCAGGCATAGCAGGGTCTTTTAGAAAGTGCCACGATAACCAACCATATCAAGCTGGGATCCCTTCCAATCCTTCCACCCTTCCACCCTTCCACCCTTTAAACCCTAAAGCGATTGCGGCCCGTCAACCTTAAAAAAAAAAAAGAATACCTGGACCTGGCCACCCGTTGCAAATGCATATCGTGCCTTGAAGATCAGGGTCTTGCAGTGAACTAAATCAGAAAGAACCTTGATACTTCAATGAGGAGTAGAAAGCATGATTGGAAATGATCTACACTGACTGCATTTAAAAATTAAGATTCTATCAATCAAAACAAAACAGACGAACACACATATATCAACATTCAAACATAAAAATCATTTCGTTATTTGCTTCAACTGCAATCAAAGTATTTCACAGCATGCATAATCCAGATCGGATTCAAAACAAATATAACTAGGTAACTCATGCCTCCCATTTCCTTGCCCCACCCATCTCCAATGAGAAGAAAGTCCAAGAAAGAGTAATATATATCTGTCCAAGAAAGCCCATTATAATCATAATATGTAATAACAACCAGAAGCTTATTCCAATCGAGGAAAATTCTTCACCCCACCGAACGCCCTGCTAAAAACAAAAGTACTAGGTGAATATCCTATCCTTCCCTCCTAGTAGTCTTATCCCAAGACGCCGTGCTTTTCATTGGTATATCATCTCATTGGTTTCCCAAGATACCCTGTAAACCCTTCCTACCAGAGAAACGCCCTCCAAAAACCGTGATTAAACCCAATTTTCTCAACTAGATATCCATCGAATAATGTTCATCTATGTTGAATTGAAACGGTTCATTAAAATTTATTTTGCCATCCATATCATCCCATGTTTGTGGAGCGTTCGCAAACTCCACATCATCAAACATGGTCAAGTCTTCATCAAGATTTGCGTCGTAGGTGTTAGTATGATTCTCCACAAGAGCGTCAGTATCACTGAGTCCGAATGGAAACCATGAATCATCAAACACGTCCAAGGCAATATCCAAATTGACCCCTTCAGAAATATCACTCGTGGGCTCTGATACACCGTCTTTACTCGATTCTGGAGTGTCATTCGGTGTGATGGACCGGTAGTTATTCGCATCGGAGATCGCCCCGCCAGCGCCACCTTCGAATGGCTGGAAAGCGCGGACAAGCTCATTAGGATCAATTGTGGCATTCGCCCAAGGATCTAAATTAACTTCTTGAGTTGGTGCATTCGATTCATCCTTGTTCATGACTTTCTGGGACTTGGCTGTATCCGTAACCAAACCCGACTGGTGCTTGGCTTTACCTTGCATCATGCCACCCTGCAAATTCGTTGAATTTTGACGATTCATGGGTGTAGCAGCTGAAGCAGATGGAGTGGCAGTCTCAACCTTCGGTGTCTGACCTTGGGTGAATGATGTAGCTGCATCCGTAGTCGCCATTGCCGCATTTGATTGGTTTTGAGAATCAAGACCTAGAACTGGTCGGAGGTGATCCTCAGCAAACTTCTGTGGATTTTGCATTGGTAGCCTGTGCTCCACTTGAGTATGACGAGCAAGCTCCTCTTGACTTTCGAATCCAGTGTTTTGGCGCTCGCAAACCTCGTCGTTACATGGCCAGGTCGGCTTGGACGGAATCTTTGGCTCTGGAATTTGTTGACGTCTGACCTCAGGTGAGGGGACTTTGGTGATCTGGGGAGAGGAAGTCGATCCAGGAGTGCCTTGACCTGGTGTTCCGTTTGGCTTCTGCTTCTTACGCGCGGGAATGTGGAGTTTTTCTGGAGTGAAAGCAGGAGGCTTCCCAGGGTATGTAGGCTGACCATGAGGAGACGAAGCTCCAAATGGAAACGGTGGCTGGGATGACGTAGGAGCTGCTGGGGGATGAGAGCCGCGGCTATTCGATCTTTGGTGGTTCATCTTGAGCAACTGCTGCTGCTGTTGCTGTAGATTAGCAGCATTAAGGGGCACGCCTGCCTCCGAAGTTTGGGCCGTTGATACACCAGATGGATTGGCTGATGCGCCTTGAGGATCTGACGATCCCACATTCTTCTTGAACATTGGATTTTTGTTGACAATGTCCATTACCATTGTATTAAGAAATGTTTTGGCTTGCTCCACATCGGCGGGTCTCATCGAAAAAGTATCTTTGAGCTCCCTCATAGTAGCGGGGTCTTTAAATTGCTTCGTCAAACGACATCGCTGAAAGGGGTTAGCGTCGTTGATTAACTTGTGGATCAGCCCGGGTTTAAAACTTACAGCACGGAAAAATAATTTAGCACGAGAATCATCACGAGTTTGTTGATACCACCTTAACATGGCCTTCGAAACGTTGTTAAGATGAGCAGGCATAGGCTCCAAGGCCTTGCGCATGTTTTGCTTCGACTCCTCATCCATAAAAATCTCACCGGGTGGGTTGTCGTTATAAGCCTTTTCTTCTTCGGCAGCAAATTCTTTAAATTTCCTGGTGATAATTTCCACCTCAGGGTTGCTGGGTGGCTGCTGCCTGGCGTTAAACATTCTCCGTAGAGTAGCCTCATAGGCCTTCTTTTGCTCTGGCTCGAGTTTCGCTATCTGTTCTGGTGTGAGCCGAGTAATATTTCTCTGCTGTGGTGCTGGCGCTGGGCCTTGTTGTCCATTGGGATTTGGCACTTCTACAACATCATCGCTACTAGCTCGTTTCAGATTATTCTTGGAAGGTTGAGCAGGTGACGAGTTCTGTGCGGCTGCTGGCTTGTTATTTGGTGGAGGCCGGGCGCGATTAACAGGTGTGGGAATGGGTGTACCTGCAGGTTCTGGTGCCGAAGTTGCTGGCTTCTGCTGTGGCATTTGTCCAGATGGCTGCTGTGCAGTCGTCATTTGTGCCGAGTTTGGCAGTCCCTGCATCGTGTTTTGTGGAATCTGTTGACCATTCGTCTGTGCCATTGCCATTTGACGACGTTGCATGTGGTTTTGCATCAGGATATGTCGGAGTTGGTCATCAGTGGCGGTAAGAAGTTTACCACTTGAGTGATTACGAAGGTTCGCAATGTCCTGGGGAGTGAACTGTCGCATTGCTCCAGGGCCCATGTTCATTCCCATAGGCATCTGAGTAGGATTCTGGCCCATTTGGGCAACAGGAGCCGACATTCTTTGAGGTGCCATAGGCATTGCATTTTGACCTCCGACTGGAGTCTGCGTGGGCATTTGATTGAGCTGCTGCTGCTGCTGCTGTGCGGCTCGTCTCGCTTGACCAAGCTGCATTAGGTGCATCTTTTGTGCGTTCTTCACGTTTTCGAGTACCTGTGGTGGGATTGTGGGAGTCGAGCTAACCCATTGTTTCAGTTGACCCCATTTCTTGACCTCTGGAGGGATTCCTGGTAACATTTGGTTATTAGCGAGGAATTGCGCAGGGATATCCATATTGTCCATTTGTTGCACCAGTCTGTTGTTATCTGCAGGTAGATTCCCAGGCCGGGGCTGCATGGCTGCATTCTGGGCCATTTGCTGTTGTACGATCAGTTGCTGTTGTTGCGCAGTCAAATTGTTTAATAATGACGCTGGGGGTCGCTGTCCAGGGTGTGTCATCATAAATTGACTTAGAGCATGTTGCTGTTGCAAGAATTGTGCAGAATGTGGTCCAGGTTGTCCTTGACGGAGTGGATTGTTATTTCCCTGAATCGCCATTTGTGGTGCCTGTTGCATTGGATTCTGCTGCTGCCGAGCCTGCCAATTTTTCGCAAATTCGCTCATCTTGTCAGGCGGCAAATTTGAGAAGTGCTGGCGTTGTTCTGGGCCCATATCTCGCAACATTGCAGGGTTGAATTGATTCATGGAATTACCAAACATTCTAGGGTTAGCGAAGCGTGGATCCAGTGACTGGCCAAATGGCGGATTATGCATCATTCCACCGGCCTCAGGGTGACCCATCTGCTGAGACGGCGTCCTCATAGGAGCGTTGAGCGTATTCATGGCAGGGCTCTGTTGTGATTGCATGTTCCCCGGACCCATTCCACCAGGTTGACCTTGTAGTCCCATTTGTGCCTTAGCGGCCGCGTTTGCACGAGCTTGTGCCTGCTGTGCCTGCTGTTGTTGCTGAAATCTCTGCGACTGTTGAGCATTAAACATTTGGACTTGTTGGGCCTGCGTTCTAGCCATGGGATTCGAAGCAGAACGTTGTTCGTTCATGTTAATCGCTTGTCCTGGCATTGTAACATTAGGCTGAGGAGTGTTATTTCTTGGCGCACTGACAGGTACAACAACTTGACCTGCTTCCTGAGCCAAGACCCCCGCTTGCTGCTGTTGGCCGATTAAGTTTTCCATGTTGCCCAAGAAGGAATTAAAGTCTGGGCCCCCGCTCATGGTTGTAGGGGGTTGCGATTGACCATTCATTGGGCTTGGGTTCATGGAACGCTGTTGCTGCATGGCCGGAGCCGTTGCAGAACTATTTTGTGGGTGCTGTGGAAGTGTAGGGTGTTGTCCTTGTCCCATCGGCATGTGACGGTTACGCC